CGCTGTCGACCCGAGAGCGCCCTGCCACAAGGGTTGGCCCCGCGGACCCGAGGAAGTCGATCTGACATGTTCGCGCTGAAACCGCGTCGCGCGCGCCCGCACGCCCGCGCGCGCGGTGTCGCACGTCGTCCGAGCCAAGTCAGCAACTGAGCAGCCCGAGGGTATCAGACATGTACCCCGAGCCTCCGAGCCAGCCAGCACGCTGCCCAGAGCCCAAAATGGGCTGCCTTTCGGCTCGCAGAGCATGCCGAAATGCTCGAACTTCGCGCAGCGATTCCGGACGACGGTCAGGGTGTCCATGGTCACGGAGCACGTTTCCGAGCACACCAGAGGCACGTCTGCCGCGATCCGTAGCCCGTGACCATGGACAGCCGGCCGCGCGCGCGCCGGCAAATGCCAAAGAGAGGCTCTCCCTGCTTCTCCCCTCATGCCAGCACGGCGCTGATCATGAAGCTTCACGGTCGACTTCAACCCGCGTCCTGCCCCCGGGATTCGGTCGTCGGCGTCGCGCAGCCCCGGGGTGTGTCGTTACGCGGCCGCGCCCCGATCGCCGGCGTCGAAGGGCCGCGCGGCGTTGGCCTCCGCGAGCGCGCGCGACACGGGCGCGAGCAGGGCGAGCGCGTCCCGCTCGGCGACGCGGTCGGACTTGGGGAGCTTGGCGCCGAGGCGGGCCTCGACGGCCGCGAGCCAGCCGAGGTCGCGCTGCGTGACGACGCTGACGGCGAGGCCGCGGCGGCCTGCGCGCGCGCAGCGGCCGACGCGGTGGACGTAGTCGTCGGCGTCGCGGGGCATGTCGAAGTTGACGACGAGGTCGACGGCGGGGAGGTCGAGGCCGCGGCTCGCGACGTCCGTGGCGACGAGGATCGCGCAGGACCGCTGGGCGAACTTGCCGAGGGCCGCGAGGCGCCGCCGCATGCCGAGCTTCGAGTGGAGGCACGCCGCGTCGGCGCCGAGCGCGTCGAGGAGCGCGTGGACGTCGTGCGCGCGGCGGCACGTCTGCGCGAAGACGATGGCGGACCGGGGCCGGGGCCCGGCCGCGTCGGCGCCCTCGCCCAGGAGCCCCAGGGCCGCGAGGAGCCGCGCGAAGTACGCGTACTTGACGCGGTTCGGGCAGAGCACGTACTCCGCGTCCAGCCCCGCCGGCACGGCCGCCGGGGACCCGCGGTCGACGACCGTCGCCCCCAGCGCCGCCGCGCGCGCGTCGAGCGCCTCGGACCGCGTCGCGCTGTAGAGCAGGTCGCGCCGCGCGCCCGGCCGCCGCGCGGCGCCGCGGACCGCAGCGTCGACGCGGCCGACGTCCGGGCCGAGCGACGGCGACAGGAGCCGGTCCGCCTCGTCGAGCACGAGGAACGCCGCGCAGCGCAGCGTCGCCGCGACCTCGCACCGCTCGCAGACCTCCGCGAGGCGGCCGGGCGTGCCGACGACGACGTGCGGCCGGCCGCTCGCGAGCTCGAGGCCCTGCGCGACGCCGTCGACGCCGCCCGTGACGCAGGCGACGCGGACGCGCTGCCGCGCGCCGAAGACGGCGAACTGGTCCGCGAGCTGCGCGGCGAGCTCGCGCGACGGCGCGACGCACAGCGCGAAGACGCCGAAGGGGTCGCGGAAGAGCGCGTCGAGGATCGGGAGCGCGAACGCGGCCGTCTTCCCGCTGCCCGTCTCCGCGACGCCGAGCACGTGGTCGCCGCGGAGCGTCGCGGGGATCGCGCCGCGCTGGATCGCCGACGGCACCGCCATGCCCAGGGCTCCGCAGGACGCCACGACCCAGGGCGCCAGGCCCAGGTCCGCGAAGTCGACGGCGCCGCCGCCGCAGCCGCCGCCCGCCGCCGAAGCGCCGCCCGCCGCCGCCGCCGACCCACCGCCGACGTCGCGCGCGCCGCCGCGCCGGCGCTTCTTCTTCGCGCCACCGAAGAGGTCCATGCTCGCAACTATCGCCGCGAACTCTCAGAGCTCTAGAGGTACTTGCAGCAAGTTGCCGTCAGGCTAACTTTCAGGCTAGTCGCGCGCGGGCACCCGACGTGGCCGACGTCGTCACAGCTCGAGGAAGGAGAGCTCCGCGGCGACGCCGACGGACGTGCGCAGGTTGAGGACGGCGTGGCCCCAGTTGTTCGGGACGAAGAGGACGTCGCCCGCGCGCTGGACGCAGGTCCGCGCGCCCGGCGCGTCCTCGCGGAACGCGAAGAACGCGGGCGCCGTCGCGTAGGTCGCCTGCGCCGGCGGCGGCGTCGGCGGCGCGCGGCGCGACGTCGGCGCGGCGCGCGCGCGCGCCAGGGCGGCGCGAGGCGCCAGAGCTTGGCGCCGAAGGCGAGGCCGTTGATGGCCGCGCCGTGGAAGTGGGCCTGGGCAGGACAAGAGAGATTCAACGTCGCTTCAATGTGAGTGTTCCGCGCGCGCGCGTTCCGTAAAAAGCATCCACGCTTCGAGAGCGTTCCGAGAG